TCAGCAGCATCAAAATGTACTCAAATTGGTATTTATCCAGATATACTCGATTGTTCTATTTTTCATTATTGTCGTGAAAATAAACATCATGAAATATTTAAATGTCCAAATGCACTTCATTTTGATCCAAAAACATTTATGTGTTTACCTCCTCAACTGGTATCGTCAATTATTGAACTTAATTTATTCGTAAAAATACAAATTGTTTTAGGTTAATTGTCAATATGAATCATCAATAAAAATAGAAGATGATATGAGTAAATATTAATTCGAATCTATATTTCATATTTGAATTGTTTTATTTAGATACAATCTGTCGTGATTATGCACCTGAAACATATTTACCTGTACCAAATCGTTTTGATGAATTTATAATATGTAAAACTGATGGTAGAAGTATTTCAATGAAATGTAAATCTGGTTTGATTTATAATGCATTGACTACAGCTTGTGAAAAAGGTAATTTAGTTCTTTTTTTTTTTTTTATTTCATTTGGAAATTAATGTTTTAACATAAAATAATTAATTTCTTCTAGGACCTTGTACATTCGATTCAACCTTATGTAAAAATGAAGGTCAATGTATAGATGAACCAACAAATGAGAAAGGTTTTAAATGTATATGTTCAAATCAATTTCAAGGAGATTTTTGTGAGAAAGGTTAAAAGGAATACATAATTGTTTTAAAGAAAAAAAAAAAGAAAAGAGATGTTATTATACAATGAACTTTTTGTTTTAGATATCAATTTGAAAGAAACAACTGAACAATCAAATAATAGAGAAATAATGATAAAAAATTCTGATAGTTTTTTTCAGTAAGTTTATAAAGAATTTCATTAATAATTTTTTTTTTTCTTCTATTTTTCAATTTCAGACAAAATATTTTTGATGAAACAACACACATACCATACGCTGAAAAAATAAATATACTTCGGTAAATATTTATTGCAATTATTGGAACAAAAAAATATTTCATAATTTTAAATTTAGAAAAAATAAATCTATAATAACAAACAAAACTTCAAGTAATCTATCACAAAATAAACCATTACTTTAGTAAGTTTCAAATATTATCTTTCGATAATTAGCAAATATCTTAACTTTTTCAATGTAGATAACTAACGAGAGAATTTCTTCAAGTATCTTTTTGATTGAAACGATGTTCATTTTATGAGTACTAGTGGAATCTAGAATAGTTTAGTTTTCTGAGCCTTCATTCTTGAGATATCGAAAAGCTGTGTGATCCCACTTAGATCACATGGAAAATTAACTATCGGCTTTCGACTTCAAACTTTGCACGAACAAAGTTTTCCTTGAGATTAGTCGATTATGCCACTAGTATTTCGTTTCTGGAGATGTAAGTCTATGAACACAATTTTCTTTTACACATAAGAGAATTTTCAATATCTTAGGATGGAAGATACTAAAAAGTTTACAACTTGTTAAAATGAATATCGTCTCGGATGAAAAGATTATAACTCGATTGTAAAGATCCATAGGACGAACCATTTTCGACTTTTGCTAGTTTCACTAACATATCCTTGAAAGCTTTAAATTCGACTAATAAAATTTATATCATGACTTTAAGACTCATCTGAATGTTTTAATAAAAATACTGAAAAAAATTTTGGTTTGAAATAAAATTCACTAAAGAATCTATAAGTTACTACCAAAATATTACAAATCTAATTCATTTAAAAGTTTGTTTTGTATCTCACAGAGATCTTTTTTTATAAACAAAACATGAAGTTAAATGATATTCAGAATTTAAACATTTGACAGCTCTATTTTATAGAAAAGTAGAAAGACAAATATTCTTCAATAACTGATAGCCTTATCGAACTCTGCGATTAATTTTTCATATTATTGATGTTTTTTGATTTTCAAGTTCTGAACAACAGCAACAAGTTTCACAAATGATCAAAATAATATTTATTATTATAATAACTTTAATTGGTCTTATTTTATTTGGATCGATTATATTTGGTATAGTAGTAATAACTCGTTTAATTATTTATTCATCAAGACCAACGACTAACGAATGGAAAACATTACAAGAAGAATCAAATATTTAAATTTTAAATATTATTCAAGTTCTATGTGATATATTTCAAATAATGTTTTTAATAAATAAAACTAATTATACATCAAATTTGATTCTAATGTTATTGATAATTTTACAAAATAAAAAAAAAAAAATTATCAAATAAAGAAAAACTTATATTTATTTTGAAAGATCAGTGAATTGGCATTTCCTACTTTTTTTTTAAATGAGCTACACATATACACACAAAATTTTAGATGTTGAGATTTAGAATTAAGAAAGAAAAATACTTTTTATTAATCGTAGAAATAATATACATCATAGACGTCCATCGCAGCTAGAAATCTTCTGCTGCTATAATGGTTTTCGAGAGATTCTTCGAAAATCTCTTCGATCACTCTGCTACATTAGCACAATTAGATTGAATCGATCGGAGTCACTACGATTCTGACTGTTGGATTCGTAGACACTCAAATGAAGTGCAAATTCATGTAGTTTTGCAATCTCTCTAAAGAGAGAAGCTGTCGCTGCTGCGATTAAATCCTCCGCGTCGCGGTGATGATAGTAGTTTCGAAAATTATTCGATCAGATTTATTTTAAAATTTTTCTCATTGCCGTGAATGCTAATAAGAACCCAAAATAGTAATTCTTGTGAAGAATTTTTGACGATGAAAATAATTATTAGTTTTCCAAGAATAGAACTCTAAAAAATCGAGACCGAAGTTTTTCATTTACACGAAACAGTAGAGTAAACAATTCCCTACAAAATGAAACATCTTCCAGCTCTCTACAATGTTTTTTCACTGAGACAAATCAATTTTGTGGAAAGCACAAAAATGATGTTTCTATCGGAGATGTCCATAACGGCGTTAGTAGCATTGAAAGTGTTTCAAAAATACTATCGCGACAGTTTCTTAAGTAGGAAGATTAAAATTGCACGAATTTGCGCCCGATTTAAGTCTCTACGCGTCTAACAGTCACAATCGTGATGGAAGAGGTTTCCGAAGGAGTTCTCGCAAATCATTGCGGCAGTGGTCTTGTCTCTTCTAGGATCGTGCCAGACTTCTACTTATAGTGAACATCTCTGATTTCTATACGAAATAACCGGAAAAACGTCTTTTGTGCTTTCTATAATATTGATGTATCTGGATTAGAAAATGTCGTAGAGAGCTGGAAGATGTTTCATTTTGTACAGAATTCTATGCTCTATTATTCTGGGTAATTCAAACAGAATTTGGTTGCGAAGTTCTAGGAGTTGAAAAACTTAGGTCTTGATTTTTCCGAGACTCTATCCTTGGAAAACTAGCAATGATTTTCATCTGAGAAAGTTCTTATTTGATACACAAATCACTATTTGGATTCTTATTAGTGTTTGTATAAACTTCGTTGAATAATTTTGAAAGCATATATATTTGTTTTATCTGACATCTATCGAATCATTCTTCAACTTGTCTAACTAATAAACACAATGTTAGTCTATGGAAATCTTCCACAATTTAATTTCTCCAAGATTTTCTAGAATTCTTTTTTTTATTTAAATATATATATATATCGAAAGGAACCTGAGAATAACTTCCCTAATAGGCAGTCATGTTAATCGTATATCATTGGTTTAAATAATACGTAAGTGATTTTGTTTAATTAATTTCTATTCTAAATGTTTCGAGGCATTTGCCATGATTAACTACAAACAATATCATTGATTACTCAATATACAATCAAATGAAAATATAATTTTAAAATTGATTATGAATCTATCTGTTTGTATCGATGATAATCTTCAATAAACAAAAATTAAAGTTTATAGTATCGTGATAAGCATTATATCTTTGATTGATATCGTTACAAATATTTCAATAAATATCTTTTTTGAATGATGATACACACATCGAAATGATCATAATTTATTTGTTTTCATTGTCTATTTTGTTATTATTATAACGAAAATTATTTATATTTAATAATTTTTGTAGATATGTCTACTTATACAAACTTCTTTCGTTCTCTTCTTCATTTTGGTACTAATCAACAAAAATGGAAATTAACTCTTCTTGTTTCATCAGTTGGTCTTAGTACTGCTGGTTTTCTATGGCATCATCATTATCATTACGCTAATTCATATAGTCTACATTTAAAACGTTATTCAGCATCTGCGGAATATCCTCAATTAACTAAACATGCAAATTTAATGGCTAGTCAATTGACATTACAGGTTAGAAATTGAACTCATTTTCTATATAAAAAAAAAACAGCAATAAAATGAAAGAAATTTAATAGATGTATGCTAAACTTCGTGATCGTATTACACCATCGGGATATACTATTGATGATGTTATACAAGTTGGTGTTGATAATCCTGGTTCACAAACTCGTCAATATTTTGGTGTATCAGCTGGTGATGAAGAATCTTATAAAGTAAAATATTTTTGTTTACTTTTAAATAATCTTTTTTTCTTTTTTTTTAATAGATGTTTAGTGATCTATTTGATCCATTAATTCGAATACGATATAATTATGGACCAGATGCACGTCAATATCATGATATAGATATAACTAAACTTTATTTTCCATTTGAATCTAATAATACTACATTTGATATAAACAAATATATTCTATCATCACGTATTCGTATAACACGTAATCTTTCTGGTTATACATTTCCAACATTTTCAACACGAGCTGAACGTCGTCATGTCGAACGAAATTTAAATAAAGCATTTCAACAGTTCATCAAAGAAAATAATCAATTTAATGGAAATTATTATCGTCTTTCGATGGTAGACGAACAGTTACGAAACAGTTTAGCCAATGTAAGCGCAAGTATGTAGGAGAATGATATAGACATGACCGGAACCAATCGTTTTCGATTCCAATCTCAGCCAAAAACAAAAAAAAAACTTTAATCCCGGGTTAAAAAGTTGAGCCGTGTCCGAGCTCGGTCTAAAAAAATTGGTTCCGGTCTCGATGACAGTTCCGATATAAAAATTAGTTTGGATGCCGATTAAAAAAAAATTTAGCTTCGGTCTAAAAGAACTCGTCCTAGTCTCGGTCGCGCCTTGAGTCTAAAAAATTGGTAGCGGTACTGAGACTGTGACCATTCTGTCCATATCTATGTAGAACAGATAAGTCGTGACAATATGATATTCGACACAAGTTTTACACGACCATAAAAGATATAACTCCTATAATCTATAAAAAATAAAAGAACAAAATAAAGTGTAACTCGGCTTGTCCACGTAACGCGACACTTCGCTGATCAAGTTTTGAAAAAAGTTTTTTTCGAGTTGGACAGATCTCATTGGACTATTAGATGCAGTTTTTTACGCTGATTACGAATTTGATATTGATTTAGCATAAAAATCAGATTTTGATATCAAAAATCTGATTTTAAAGTTTTCAAGAACCGTATTTTGGATTTTTTAACCAAGAAATTTTTTCAACAAGGGCTAAGAGACATACCATTCGATGCAGAATTAAATTCTCTACAAAATTGTCTATTTAGTTTTGACTTTGGTAGCTTAGAATGGATTGAAAGCTTCGATAAAGTTTCCAACTTCCTGCCCAGTTTATGAGCTCTTAGATCGATGTATCAATCTCATTTTTGCAGAGGGGATTGTCTACATATAAAACAGTAACAATTATAAAAATCAAGTAATTCCGAGTACATTAAGTGCCTCAAAATTGGTCAACAAAAAACTGTGTAACAGCGTTACGAAAAATGTAACAGCGTTACGTTTGTTTTTTGCATTTTTTATTTGAACAAAAATGTTTTAGAGAAAATCTTTTTTACTGCCTGAAAGCCTATTCAATGCTCTACAAAAGTGATTCTTGAAGCATTACATTTGAAGAAATGATTTCGCAAGAAATTAGAGTTTTCTCAGTGGTACTGGAAAAAAAGAGTCCTTTTATGTAACAGCGTTACGCCATGATAAAACATTTCTAGATGTCTGAGACTTCAATCAAAAAAGGTCATTTTTATATGATAAATGAAGTTCGATAAGCTGCGTCGAATGACGTTTGAACGAACTTCCTAGCTCTTAAACTTTTCGAGAAAGTTGGAGAAGAGTATGTCAAGAACGTAACAGCGTTACGTTTGGACAAGCCGAACTATTGTAAGTATAAACACAGAGATCGAAGTCTTATTATGTAATTATCAAAGAAATAATGTGTTATTACTTTTCTTTTCTCTATCTAGGATGGTGTTTATTTATATAAACCTCAAACAATGAGTTGGCTTAGTTCTGGTGTTGCACGTGATTGGCCTGATGGACGAGCTATTTATGTTAACAATGATAAAAATATATTTGCTTGGATTAATCAAAAAGATCATTTGAGATTTATTAGTTGGAGTACAAATAATGCAAAAAATAATTTACGTTCAGTAATAACAAGATTTTTTCAAGGAATTTCTTTAGTAATTATATGAGAATTTATTTATTTTTTTTTCATTTTGCGAATTATATTATTTTATTTATTTTTAGTTAGAAAATATAATGAAAAATGAAGGTATATCATTTGCACATGATGATCATTTTGGATATTTAACAACATGTCCAGTTAATATTGGTACTGGATTAAAAATTAATATTTATTTAAAATTACCATTGTTAACAAAAGATCTACGTTTACCAACAATTATCAAAGATCTTAATTTAACAATGGAAGAAATAATGGATCCTGATATAGAAGGATTTAAAGATTGTATTGATATATCAAATCGTGATCGAATTGGAAAAACTGAAGTTTGTTGATTTTGTTTTCATACAATTAATTTTATTGTTTCTATTTTAGATTGAAATTATTCAACATGTTCTTGATGGTGTAACAAAATTAGTTGAAATTGAACGTAAATTAGAAGCTGGTGATAAACTCGATGAATATCTACGACGTTAGAAAATTTTGTTGTTTTTTTTCGAAATTGTTTTTTTTTTTGTTAATTTTTCATAGAAAAAAAAAATAAAGATCGATTGTTTAAATGAATATTGTTCTAATTAATTTACAAGAATATTGAAACAGAATGATAAAACTGAT